TACGGTAGTCATCAAACGTCGCTAGAACTATTCAACAGCTGCAGACAGTATATGAGCGAGTCAAACGCGCACTTTTTTGCCTGTAGATTTGAAGAAATACTCCAGCCTCCAGCCAGAGAAGTAGTGAAGAAGCAACACCACCACTTTTCGGGTGCAGTTGCTCATCGTGCAATATCCCGCTGTTGGACCATCTTCACCAAGCGCGTCGTCATCATGTCGAAGAACATCTAACTCGCTCACCGTATCCGTGGAGAAAGAGTCTACAGATCACAGAATTCCCCAATCACGACAAAGAACAACCCGGAATCGTGCACCAAACCCGTCGCTACCAGAAGAATACGAACCTGTGTGTAATCCACCATAAGTGTGTCATCATACCAAAAGACCTCCAGCTTGTTCCTTGTATTATAAGCCTTCGACACATAGAGATCGAAGCGAAATGAAAATCTCATATACAATACTCGAATTTTCACCAGTGTATACTAGGCTTTAATTGTTACTAAATCAAACGGCCCTTGTCAAGGCCACCAACAATTTTTGGCAAAAGAGTAAATTTAAAATTCAAGCAGAACAATGCATCAGGTCCAGTACAGCTCAGCCACTCTTTCTCAAATCAACCATGTTATTAACCAGAACAACCGCAGTTTGAATCTTTGTTTTGTAAGCACCCAGGACATGGCTCCTTTCTTATGCGAGGCGCCCACTCCTCTGGTGAGACTGGATCGTCACCACCCGCCGCTACTGGTGACGTTAAGTACTAAGCTGATGCATGATTTTAATATTTCACCTGTCACCGTTTCCTACGATTTTCGCAACGCCGACCATGGTAGTATCGCCGAGTTACTCTACAATTTAGATTGGGACGACTTATTGGACACCGTTGACATTGATTCCGCCGCTCAAACTATTTCCAATGTCTTGGCATATATCATTGACAGACACGTTCCGAAAAAGATTCATCATCATACGACCCATCCACCATGGCATACGAGCGAATTTCGTCGACTGAAATCCAGAAAGAGAGCCGCTCTTAGGAAGTTCACCAAGCACCGCACACTATCCCTTCAACGTCACTATGTCAGGATCAATCACGCATACAAACGGGTTGCGAAACGGTGCTTACTTCAGTATCGACGTGGATTACAGAGAAAGCTTAAGTCACGTCCCAAGCAGTTTTGGAAGTTTGTCAACGAACAACGTCATGAAGCTGGTCTGCCGTCGTCTATGACACATAATGGTAACGTGGCCTCATCTACGCAAGATATCTGTCAGCTGTTTTCTGAAAAAATTGCTAGTGTCTTCACGGACGAAAGACTGAATGACGACCATGCCCGACTGGCTGCCAGTTACGTACCACTCTCTGGCCAAACCATGAGCATGTTTTTCAGGACTTCCTCGAAACTCAAGTCGTCGTACAATCCGGGTCCTGACGGAATTCCATCGGCGTTCCTCAAAACGCACTTGAACAGTTTGTTGTCTCCACTGATGCACGTTTTTCAACGGTCTGTGGACGTCGGAGTTTTCCCATCCTGTTGGAAGCTAGCGCACATGTTTCCAGTACATAAAAAAGGCAACAACCAGGACGTTGGCAACTACCATGGCATTACTTCGCTTAGCGCTGTTGCTAAATTGTTCGAACTCGTTGTTATGGAACCGTTACTCGCTAACTGTAAGCCGTATATTAAATAGTATCGACCAGCATGGTTTCATTGCTGGTCACTCCACTGCCACTAACTTGCTGTGCCTTACTTCCTACATCTCTAACAGTATGTCGGATCGTGCTCAGACGGATGTCATTTATATTGACAAATCTGCAGCCTTCGATAAATTGGCATATCAATCGCTAAACTGGACAGGCTTGGTATCCACAGCTGCCTTTTGCAATGGTTTCAGTCGTACCTCACCGATCGCTATCTTACTGTTGTCATTGGTGATCACCAGCCCCGTACGTTCGCTGCCACATCCGGCATACCCCAGGGTAGTCACCTGAGACCGCTGATTTTCCTGATTTATTTCAACGACGTGGATCTGGTAATTGAGGGACCACAATTGTCTTACGTAGATGACCTTAAACTCTACCTTCGAATTCGCTCTATTGAAGACTGTTGCTTCCTTCAACGTCAGCTGAATGCTTTTACTGATTGGTGTATTCTGAATCGTATGGAGGTTAACCCGTCCAAATGCTCGGTTATCTCTTTTTCGCGCAAGAAAGAGACTAAATAGGCATGTTCAGTCCGAGATTATGCGAGTTGACGAAATGTTGACCTATAGCATCAACCTTCTCTTCAGGGGCTATCAGATGAGTAACTGAATCATTGGGTTGATTCAACGGCTCAAGTCAGGGAATGGGTTTTGGCTTATTTTTAAGAAGTTTGGTTAGCTTCCAGAAGGGCTTAGCACAATCTGGGAGAGAGCTCATTTTGTTACTAAGGTCCTCATTTCTGAGGTCCATCATCCTGGCTTGGATTATTTTTGTTAGACGGTTGCAATGGGTCTTCAAGACAGGCAGTCCAGTGCGTTGGTACTGTCTACGCATGGTGCTACGGAGTCTGATAATGTTTTTAGTGGAGCTATCAAGGTTCAGAGTATTGCTCACCTGTTTGGATACTGGTTATTCCCTGACTCGGGATATCGCCTCCTCCAAGGAACGCAGGCATCGGTCAACGTCTTCGGGGGCGTCCGGATGTACTTCGTAATCGACGGCGGTGTCGACACAGTGCTGAAACTGATGGTAGTTTCGCCGGATTGCTTGAAATCTGTTAGCCGAGAAGTCTACTTCAGCCACCACCGGGTGTTGGTCCGAGCTCAGCTCCTGGAATGCCACAGGTTGCGAGATATTGTGTCCCATGTTGCTTACGAAGATGTCGATGGACGCATGGACCCCAGACCGACTCAACCGGGTGCGAGTGTCCGGGGCCAAGGCCCTCTTGCAGGTCTTCATTCAGGATGGTGCCGGTTCGATTGCTCCGACCGTTGCCCTAAGCTTGGTGTTTTGCGTTTAGGTCGTTAGCGATGAAGAAGTTCCCGCTCCTCCGGGTGAGTTTGATGATGTCTTTGCGGAGGGCCACTGACGACCCGTTCCTGATGTTGGTTTGCTTGGGGCAGTAGGTTGCGATGATGCCTCCGATGCCTTCAATCGTTTTCAGCTGGAAGTAGCCGGCAACTGATGTTCCGTCTTGTTGCGATGGCCACTACCCCACCCCCGGAGCAGGTGCGGTCAAGTCTGGCGAGCCGGAAGTCGCGAAGGAATACGTTCAGTTCGGGCTTCAAGTGCGTCTCGGTGATAAAAGCAATGTCCACCTACTTGGTGTTGAGGAAATAGAGTAGCTCTCTATGCTTGTTCGTCAGCGAGCAAGCGTTCCAATTTGCAATTATTATAGCTTCACGGTTCATACTTGGTGACGAGTGAAAAGGCAGCATGAAGGTGACGAGCGTAAAGGCAGCAGCGTTACTAATTCTTACGATGTGAAAGGAGATTCGTCAACTGGATCGCTTGATGCTTATTGATCGCTTATGCAACACGGGCATACGATAGTCCAGGCGCCGAGGTAGAAACATGATCTGAAAGGGCCGCTGCGCCAGTGATGCGATGCTGAGCTGAGCGGCTCGTTGATTGTTGATGGGTAGCGGTGGGAGATTTTGGACCAGGCGACGAGGCTGGACTGCCTGGTATTGTTCATCCGTGATGGCTGGTGGTGTACGTTTGTTTCGATGTTGGCCTGGCTGGTTGCTAGTTGCCACGTTCTTCTTGATGTTGATGAATTCCGTTCGCTTGGGACAGTCCCAAGAAGTGGCACGGTAAGTACCGCCGGAATGAACACAGGTTGCTGTCGAGTGGGCCATAGCACACTTGTCGCAGTGGGTTTTATATGACAGTTCTCTGGGCCATGGGCATTGGGTCACATCACGGTGTTGCGGTTTGTAGAATTTTCAGTCGATAATGACTTGAAACAGGTCACGTATGTTGCTCTTCAGTGCAGCAAGGGTGGTGAAGCCCTTCATGAAGTGGACCAGAAACAGTTGGTCACGATAGTTGGTATTGAGCATAGGCCGTCGATGCATTGGGTGGACTGCCTCTGGTTTTAATCCGATCCTCACCAGTTCATCTTTTACGGCAGCCGCTTCGTACGACGGCAGTCCTCGTAAAACAACCTTCAATGGTTTCATCGAAGGCAAATCATGGGTGTAAAACTCCACTGTGGTGTTCTTCAGCAGGTCACCGACCGACTTGTACTGCTGTAGGCTGGAGCACATGATCTTTGTACCAACGGTACAGATATGCAAGTGTTGCTATGATCATAAAATGGCCACCGATGCGAAAAATGCTTTCCCCTACACAGATTTCAAAATTGAAATCCATCCGGTCTCAACAAACGTTGCTCATTCAATCACCGCGTGTGGTGAGTGGTGGTGTTCTCCAGTACACAACGAAAGGCTCCCCACAAGCAGATAGTTATCAAGGCTGCCCTCAACCGCTGATCAGAAGTTGCTCGTCTAGGACAAATTTCTACAGTATTGTTCTAAACTGGCTTACAAGCTTCCAACCCATAGGTTCTTTTCAGGACCACTAATGAGTGATAAAATAGTTAACTAAAGAGTAAGAGCTTGTATCCAAGGCATACCGTCCAGGATTGGCTTGTACTACATGGACATCGACAGAGCACCTCACAAAGAGAACTTTAAAATTGCTTCCGAATTTCAACCTATCGAACTTTTCCTCTGATAACGAGTTAAGAAATCAATTTAATATATACTATACAACCTCTTACTTCTTTTTTTGTAAAGCTAATTGTGAGGCCAATCCTCACCAACACAGTGAAGGACTTGTGATATCCCCACGATACCAAGGAAACTTCACATGCCTGTTCAACTTTTTCCCATTTGTTGTCTTCTTATTATCGCTTTTCGGTAATATATGTATATAGGGTATATTTTTCAATAATATTTCCATTATTTTTCTTTGGATTAGATTCAAGTCAAGTGTATGGATCTACGCGTCCTATTGTTACATTTCTTCCCATTTCACCAATTTTATCATCCTTTTTTGTTCTGCTTTCTATTTATGCTGTTGCTCTGATGGTTGTTGTTTTAGTTGTCTCATTATTCATTATTTAGTTGTAGCTTATATTTTCACTTCTGGTTAAATTTTTCATTCAATGTATAACGATTAATTTTAGAGTGTATATTCATTTCGCGGTATTACCTGTGACATTGATTTTGCTTGTTAAACTTCTCAATTCATAACCGTTTTACACATAATCAAATATCCTCTTTTGCCGTTTGCGCTGCTGCTTGGTAGAGTATTTACCATTTTCCTTTCATCAATTAATCAACAATGCTGTTCACATCGTCCAATACTGCCGGGTGTCCTAGGTTCAAGTAAACTTGCCTATTGGTTTCCTTGGTAACACATGTACAATTAATGTCTATTTTTTTTCGCCATTTGCGTACTTCCATCGGTCTACTGCGATTAATTTCTACTGTTATTTGCAAAACGTCAAAAACTGAAACTGGAACAGAACAATAAATTCGCTGTAATCAATGGGTCCTCCGTTTTTTCACTTTCTTTTTTGTGTTTACAAACAATGTTGGCGCTACGCCTACTGATTTGATGCTACAGATTCGGAAAGAAAGACGCTTTGGCTTCGTTACAGATTCGAACGATTTTGATTGAAGGGAGGAGGTGAAGAGGAGGTGGGGAATAACTTATTCGCTTTTAGGGCTACTGATATGTGAGTGATTGAACCTCAAAAAAGCAGAAACAACGCGGGCGGGATGGAATTTGCGGATTTTAGTTTTGATCTGCTTTTGCTTTTCGATTTTTCTCGTCAAAACTATTGCAACGAGTATTGATTTGTTTGTTTTGTGTAGTAGTTTTACTGTTCAACATCAGCGCGAGCACAATGATAGTAACATACATTAAGTTTCATTTGTTTTGCTATAGATTTGATGTCATCTCAATAATGTATTCTATGATAAATATTACATGCTTCATTTCATATTTGGTTTGGTTTGAATGCATATACCATACGATCAAGAATTGCTACTTAATTAATGACTAGAATGCAATCTTAAAGAATTTCGAGTGAGAAATCAAATATATATACAAGCAAGTTAGGTAAATGATTAATCTTTTCCCACGAAAATTCTATCGGGAAAATGGATTCACGGAACAAAATTACGCCAATAAAAATGATTTTTGTCACTAATCTTACAACTTGTGGTAATACTTGTCACTTGTTTCCTTATAAGCTTAATCAATATGCATTATTGTCAAACTAATGTAATTCAATAACACCTAGGTATATTTTTGTTTCATCTGTCACAGATTCGATTTGTTTTACATTATGGATTAAGTGTAGCATAATTCATTCAATTTTAATATTCAAGCTGCACCTCGTATTGAAAGCAATATTTTACTTTACAGCTACCGTTAATTTTCATCTGTCCAAACCGTGCCCGTTGCTATGAAAACACAATCCCTAGCACCTTAAATGCCTACTGTTGCTTTCGGTATTGCTTTGGAACAACACTTACCTTTCTCCGTTTTAGTTCGAGTCCGAGTCGGAATCACTTGGCGCTATGGGCGTTGTGGCCATCGGCTGTTCCTCCTGGATTGGTTTCGACACTGTTGTGGCCGCTAGGTACGCACTCACCGATTCGCCCGTAGTGTGTTCGATGCCAACCCTGGTGGGTAGAGAAAATTTTCTTGTCATTTGACGCTTAAAGTAAGGACTGCAGTATGATTCTCACCTGTACTCGTGCCTAGCTAGATACCGTACGTATTTTTCCGGAGGTTCATCACTTTCCGATTCCTGCACGCTAATCGATCGTACGGTTGTATGGGAGGCCTGTGTGGCGGGCATTGTAAATTCTACGTAGGCATACGGGGCAAGTTGTTCTGGAATCTGATCGAAGCTGGTCAACGCCATTCGACAAACGAGCTGATGAGTTGTGTAAGCTCCTTGACCCTCCTTAGGAAGCCTTGAGCATCGCCACACGATCGCCCTATGGTTGTGCTCGTACTTTGCCTGACCCGAAGTTACCTCGATTAGCGACTCCTGCAAAGTCTCCACCGTGCCCAAGAATCGTTCGATACCCTTGATCTTACCCGTACGGCGATGAGCAGACTTGACCGATCCGTATCTAAGGTAAATGATATCAGTTATATCAGTATTCCCACTAACACCAAGTTGTCCCCGACTCACCGGAAATGTTTCTCCACTCTGAACAAATAGATCCAACACTCCGGTATCGGAAACCGGATGGAGACGTCTTCGCAAGGAATCTGACCCAGCTTCCTTGAGGCAAAGCCTGGCACCAGAACATCAGCTCTCAGCTCCACCTTATTGCCAGTTACGCACCACGTGGCCTTCAACTGTAGTGGAAGCTCCCGATTCTTCGGCGGTCGGATGCGGAACCGCATCAACTCAATGTAGCATGCATCCGGTGGCTTGAACTTGATCGTGCGACTCCGTTCGTACTCGTCTTGCTGAACACAAGTGTGGAACTCGACTCCTTCCAGACGGATCCACTCTTCGGTCACAACCGGAATAATGTCGTGCCGACCAACGACCTCCTTGCCCTGACGCCACAGATCGTTCACTCCCAGCTCGATATCGGGCATACCTAGAAATAAAGACTTGGATTAATACAGTCTACCTAACGTCTTCCGCTGCTCCCTACCCGACAGGAACGCCAAGAAGAACAATCGAACCCGTGCGATTTGCTTGTCTACGTGACCTTCCGCGTCTTGTTCGACGTACAGCTCATCGACCGCCGTCACCTGCACTTCCTCCGTCTTGTACGTCAACGCACGATCCCGGTGAACACTCATCTTGAACAGCGCCTCCTCAATACAAATCGAAAACTGCTTCATATCTTCGTAGTTCATCGACCCAAGCTTAAACAGCTGCGATATCTGCGGAGCATGTTCCACCGGCAGTCCCAGCTTCTTCAGATCACTGCCCAACTCTTTGACCCCTTGGTAGTCACCCTGGATGGCGTAAGCCGCAAACTGACTCAGTTTGTTCGTCAATCGCTCCGCTTTGGTAACCTGGCCAGGTCTTACACCCGGGCGCTCCTTGTAGAACACATATTGCAACTTGACGGTGAAGATCTTTCCAAAATTGTCGTACTGTTGTGCTCCAATGTCCGACACTGAGTAGCACGCCTGCAGCGGTAGCTCCTGGAATGGATCCTTATCCTTCTCGGCGTTGTACAACTGCAACACCGGATTGTCCCCTTGACAGACAAGCCGGATGTAGATCTTCTTCCAGAACCGCTGACCGGTGATCTTCTTCTTGTTCGGCTGACGCAACTGCATCTCCCATCCTTCACCATTGTAAATAACGCGAGGAAAGTCCTCCAACGGTTGCGAAACATCATCGTCAAACAGAGGCGTCGGTGGAGTTTCCTGCGAATCCGTCCGCTGCAGTTGCGGAGTTGCTGGAAACGTAAATTCCCCTATTAAAAATCAACCGAATCAGTCATAAACAACCGAACTCACCATCCGGTAAAGCTGCCAAGGTGGCCTCTCCATCATCTGCCCTGTCGAAGGGATTCACCCGCGGTGACGAATCTCCCGAGTAAATCGACGCCGTCTGAGGACTTTTCGGTGGAGGTGCCAAAGCAGGAGCCAGCACAGATTCCAAACCTTCCTTCGGTCGAATGACCACATTGAACTGGTTACCTTCATCCGAATCCCGCGAATCGGATCGCCCAAATGGAGTTCCCTAAAACAAAAACAGACACCCTCTTAGAATTGACCATCACATGGTTCAACGCAATAATGACACTTACCTCCGGTACCGGTGGTGCCTGCATTGACAGGAACGGATCATTACCCTCATTGCCGAAACCATCCGCGCTGTCTTCGAACTCACTACCTCCACCGAAACCACCGGCTCCCCACGCATCCCCCGTGGTTCCGAAGGCATCGTCCGTCGTCCCATTGCCACCAAGATCTCCATCCAGAAAGATGTTCGTACCGCTCTTGCTATGCTTCAGCTCAAACTTGGCAGCGAAAGAATCAAACTCATCCGGTTCCTGGAGCTGAGGCTGTGTAAAGTTATCCAGCGGATCCGGCTCGGTTGTCGTAATCGTTACTACGCCCATATTGTTGTTAGTCGTGTTTCCAAACAGCTCGTTCGCATAATCCATCGGTACCGTAGTAGTCACGATCGGTTCGACGCTAGTCACGTATGGTTCACTATCGTCGTCGATGGCAAACGGGTTGATCGCCTCCGCAGCTACTGGTGCTGTAGTGGTCTCAGGTTCGCTATAGAACAACTGAGCCGCTGTCGTGCTCACTTGGATGTCATCCACATGGTTGTAGTCCACCGAAACATCTGGCTCCATTGGTGGAGGAGCCGGGTAGTCTGCCATCCCTTCCGGTTCCATCTCATGAAGCTCATCAGCCTTCTCCACGGCTGAAATGTTTACAATACTGCCCGATACGGAACTTGGGATGTTACCGGAAGTTATGTTCGACCCAGTTGGGCTGAAGTCCGACGAAGCTTCCGATCGCGTAAACAAATCATCGGATGGAGGTGGTGCTTCCAGGACGATCTCAGGAGAAGGTTCCATCACATGTTGCTCAATCACCGATAGAACCGGTTCATGTTCCGATGATGGAACCTCGAAATCAACCGGTTCCGGAACGGTGGATGGCATCTGAGTATGAACCATGTTCTCGGATAGATTGGGGACGAAGGTTTCACTTGTGGTTTCCGCAGCGCCACCGAAGAAATCATCGAAATCACCACTCAGTAGATCAGTTTGTTTCGGTTCAGGAGCAGGTGCAGCCACTGGAGCCGGGGTTGAAAACAGGGAAAGAATGTCTGCTTTGGATTTCGGAGCAGGTGGCTTAGGTGGTGCCGTTTTCGTCGGTCCTGGTCCAAAAAGATCGAATAGATCGGCTTCATGCTGAGGTTGGGCGACATGAGCTGCAGCGGATGGATGTGGAGCTGGTGGTACAGGAGGAGCCGTAACTGGCGATGAAGCAAGGGAGCTTTTCGGAGGAGCTGGGCGCGGTGGAGGTGGTCTTGGACGCGGAGGCTTCGGAACTTCGGGTTTTGCAGCGATTGGAACTGCGGGTTCAGCAAATGGATTATCATTGTCTGCATCGGGTGGCATACCAGTGCCGAACAGGTCATCCTGTTGGATGTGATGCTCTGGTTGGTCTCCAACGGATAACAGATCGCCGAAATCGGGTGTTGGACTGGGAGAGTGTAGGTCTCTCATGGACACCGGACTGGGCGTTCTGGTAGCCGGGATATGTCGCAGAAGATTTGTGCTGGTCTGATCAAGCTGGTTTGCGATCGTGCTGATCAGTTGCTGCGTCGCCTGCGATGGTGGTACCGGTCTGGGTGGTGGAGCATTCTGGTTGCCGTGGGTCAACTTGAGTTCATCATCGCTGGAGTAGGCGTTCATCAGTGCATCATCCATCAGGTTGTTATTGGTATGAGGACCAAGATGTAGATGCGTAGGCTTCGGGATAACCAGATCATCATCTTCGTTGATGGTGGTATCGAAGAAGTTTGATGCACCATTCGACTCAGCAGACGGTTGGAAGATGCTGCTCTGTGACATCACCGTTGCGGAAACTCCGAAGATTTCGGCACCGGTTGTGACCACCGCATTGACACCCGCAGTCCCAAACAGATCGTCCATATTGGGGGCTGTGTCGGCTGCAGCCTGTTCGTCCGCCTCACCACCAAAGTCCGCAAACGGGTTGCTGGCCTGCGCCAAGAATGGATTGTCGTCCACCCCCGTCGCGCTTTCATCGTCTTGTGCGTCATCACCGAAAAGGAACGGGTTGGAAACCGGCTCAGCGCCACCCATCGGCTCTTCGTCCATTAGGAAGGGGTTCGCCATCTCTCTAGTTGCCGCTATTGAATAGTTCGTTCTCTAGTAGTTTGATTTCAGTCTTGCCTGGTCCCAAGTCGTTCGCGAACGATGTATCGAACGGATCGATGTCAGTCTCGTCAATTGAGTTGCTCGGTTGTGGTGTGAGAACCTTCACAAAGATGGAACCAGTGTCTTGGGAATCGGAAAGGATGTCTTGACTGGTGCTGGCTACCACAGGAACTACCGGTATGAGTTCGTCCTCCAGAAGCTTTAACTCAGTACGGCCCGGTTGGATGTTGATTGCAATCGAGGTATCAAAAGGATCGACCTCTTCTAGTTCCGCTGCGTGCGCCGGAGTTAAAACCTTCTGGTTGTAGTCGTCGGTGACTCCGAGAAGATCAGACTTGGCAACGGGTACTGGAGCCCCACTGGGTGTTAGAGCTCTTGGATCGAATTCCGGATCGGAGAGGCTATGCTTTAGGGTAGCGTTGTTCAACTCCTGCTCGATTAGGCTCAACTCAAGCTGGGTCGGTGCGATATTCGGCACAAACGAAGTATCGAATGGATCGACCGATTCAGGAATGGAGCTCTCTCGGTTGTAGTACGGAGTCAAAGGTTTCTTGGACAAAGATTGATCTCCGTCAAGCTTCAGCAGATCCGGAGTGCGAACGGCAAAGATTACGGTCTTGCTCTTCGTGGCCGCTCCGTTAATCTGCAAACTGAGTGAAGATTTTCGCTGAGCAATAGCAGTGAAGTCTTCCTCTGGCTTTAGTGGTTCAACACTATCGGCCCGTGGATCAAAGTCTGGATCACTCAACGAGTGTTTGAGCTGATTAGGTTTGTCCGCGAGCAGTTCCGCTTCGAGGAATTTAAGTTCGGTTTTACCCGGAGCTATGCTAGAGCTAACGGCTGAAGTGTCGAACGGATCGACGTAACTGGCAGACTCTGCACTAGCAGCTAATACTTCCAGGGGAGTCTGAACAATATGGGTAAGATCAGAGGTGCTTCCCGATAGTAGGTCCTTCGATAGATTAGCGGTGACTTGCAGTGAACCGTGATCTTCCGCGGAGAAGAGATCTGGAGTCTTGACTCGAATCGGAACAGGCGTGACTTCTTCCTCAGCACGTGGATCAAAGTCGTCGTCCTCGTCGAAGTCTTCCTCGTCAGCTCGTGGATCAAAGTCGTCGTCCTCCTTGGCAGTCGCCGGAAGGACTCGTTCAACGAATCCGGTATCAAATGGATCGTCCGCTTCGAGCTCGAACTCGTCTTCGTCGACTAAGCCAACGAGTTGTGGGATGCGTGGTCCGGTGGATGGACGAGGTGGTGGCGGTCGGGATGGCTTCTTGAGACCTACAATGAAACGGTATTTAGTTGTGGGTCAAAAGCGCAACAGAGTTAAGAACTTACCTCCTAGATCAGCCTCACCTACAAGTAGTTCAAAATTGTCCCCTTCAACCGCTGGTTCGCGCTTTCTAAGATCGTCAAATTCGTCTAGATTAAGTGCGGGTTCTTCCGGTTCCTGCTCCTTCCTGGCTTCCTTTTCCTTTTGAAACGCTAAGTGGAGCGAGACGGTTAGATCAATTGGCGCATCGCTCGTAAGCTCAGATTGATCGTCCAATAGTGAGAAGATAGTCTGCTGAGGCTGGGCAGCTTCCTCACTGGGGATTGCCTCCTCTCCGTCCGGTTGTCCTTCGTCGAAACTTTCTAGGAGAAGATTCTGAGGGCCTCGACGGGGGCGACGGGTCGAAGCTTTGGTAGAAACGTTCTCTACACGTCCGGTAAGTACTTCGACGGCCGCACCGATGTTAACGATCTTTTTGCCCCGCTTCGAGACTTCAGGTCCTTTGATGACCTTCTCAGCGTATGAGGTGTCAAACGGATCTGGTCCTTCAAAGTCTTCTAGCTCTGGTGACTCTGGAACATAAGCGATCGGTAAGTCTCCCGAAGCTATAGCATCAATGTAGTTGGTATCGAAGATGTCCTCCTCGACCTCAGAGTTTGAGTCTGAATCGGAGAGCTCAACAACGGCGTTGATGAGCTCGTTAGCAGACTTCTGCTCCTCGGCCTCCTTTGCTGCCGCTTGGGTCCTTTCCTTCTCCTCTTGTTCGCGTTTGAGCTGTTCTTCACGTTCCTTTGCTTCGAGTTCGACTTTGGTGGGGATCTTCTGGAAGAAAGATTTCTCCTTGATGCGATCTAGATCTTCCTGGGTCTTCTTGAGCACTGAATCGATGCCAGTCGTGAGTGCCGCAAACTTAGACCATTCCTCGTCGTTTTCCGACTTTTCGCCCGGTTGATCTTCGCTGTCGGACGGTGCAGCCGAGTTGAGTGCCGACGATGCCTGGTGCTGGTGCTCCCGGCGGTACTGTTCGAGTTCTTCCTCGGTGAAGAGCTCCTGGTCTTTTTTGGACTTTTTACCTTTCTTCTTCTTCTTTAATCCTTTGGGTAATTTAAGCATTATCTACACTAGCGAGACATCGAAGCATCTACGGATAGAGAAACACAAAAAGGAAACCAATATCATCGGTGTAACAGGCGAGTTTACATATTAGCTTAACTGGTTCAAGGTCATTGCCTGGAAGGGTGGATGTAAAAATAAAAACGCCCAAGGCACCTTTCTGCGCAACCCCCTGCCTAGCAGAGAAGGTAGCACACAAAAGAAAACACTCTCGGCGAAGAAACAGCAGGGGTGCGGGGCAAACAACTACAATTACACACTCATCTGATTTCATCCCGCATCCGCTTTGATTCGTCTTCTCCCCAACCCTCGATGGGTAATTGTATTTCCTATCGGTCTACTTAGGGGACAGCACCTCCATCGCCCAATCGATTCAGATTCTTCTCCATTGTGCAGCATCAATTATTCATCCAATTATGGAGAGCACTCACTATTTTTAAACTCACAAAACCACATCCGGTGGCTCAGATTACCCCTGAAGATGGCGAAGAAAAATTTCGGCAACCATCGAGAAGAGCAAGAACATGAGTAAGCACTCGCCAGTTTATCGATTTTTATCCGCAGCAAACTGTTTCGAACATTTTCCGATTCAAATTGAAATATATTACCGATCAAAGCAGGCTGCCGAGAGTTGCCAAATTCAGCCGCAAAGATAGGCAGCAGCAGGCGTTTGCTTGGGGGAAGTGAAAAATTCTGAAATCGATTTCGCCCAAAAGGTATGCAATCAGACCTATGTGGGTTGCTTCGGGGAAATTTGGAAAAACACAATTTCCAACCCGGGAGGACGGTTTCGAGGGTGGAATTTAATTGCTTTCGTTTGCCAGTCGGTACTTACGCCTCTTTGCAAAGTCATCAAGTGGTTTCGATGATGTTTGCGACCGAATTTTTACAGATTTTCACGAAGAAAGTGCACTGCGAACACCTAACACCCACCGAAAAATTTTCACTTTTGAAGTCCGTCGACTACGTCGACTGGGATGTGCGGAAAGGTCAACCTGGAAAATGGGTCGATTCCAATGGGTGTCGATTGGGTCAACTGGGTTTTCAGGGAAATCCGGATGTTTTCTGAATGAAAGTTGAATGGATTTTCCCGAAGTGGATGTTGCTGATGGGAGTTCTATCTAGCTGGCTAGTCAAATGGGAGGAAATGTGCGGGAAAATCCATCAAACTTGGCCTAGTGCCACCCAAGTGTGAACCAACGGCGAGTACCCTCGATTTGACTATTGATTCGCGGAAGGGCGCATGTGCGGCCGCCATCATTATTGTTGTACATCCCCACGAACGTGCCGAAATATTGCATAACCTGCAAGCATAACTGTGAATGTATGGCTACTACTTGCACCCTCCACCGTCGCCGTTGCCGTCGTCATCGTCGTTCTCTTGCTGCTCAGCTGCTCCTGACTGCTGTCATCAAAGAAGGCGACGATGATGACGTCGTTCGTAGGAGAGGAAGCATTCCTGCACGCGGGAGCGCACCGTCTGTATGACGTCACGGCACTTAAAGCAAAGTGTGCGGTGCAAGTGCTACCAACACGGTGTCGCTTCCTAAGCGATGGGAATGTTTTAAAGGATGGTATCGTCAGTTCAGAGAAAAACTAGCATCTTGTGTCAGATTATTTGACAACCACAGCTTTCGAAGCATGCTTCGGTTGTCAGTTGAAATTTTAAATTTCTTCTGAATTCTTCAATTTTATTAATGTTATTAGGGGTTGTTCATAATCCAGTTTAGGAGGGGAGATGGCTAGTGTCCACGCTACGCGTGATTTATGTACAGCTCCTTACTTTATATTGACATAGAGCACTGACTGCTCATTCGAGCAGTTTTAAATGACGATTCCTACCGCTCGAACTTTGTCCTGCACACTTAGAAATACCTAATTTTACACGTTACGGAATCCATCTTACTGAAAAGTTCGTTACTCGACGAAAAGTACGTTGGATTAAGCTGAATTTCGCGTCTATTATAACTCAATTTTGTGTCAAAATTGACGCTCGTATAAGTCAGTCTCAGAGCACCTAAATTTACAAGAATTTGTCCTTGTGGGATAATATTTTGAAACAAATTAACCACTTCATTCGAGCAGTTAAAATTACGTTTACTACCACTTGAACTTTGAAACAAAACATTATTTTGAGATTTTGTTTCTTCTACAACCACGAGAAAAGTAGCCAACATTTGTGCATTTCATTAAAAAATAGAAATTAGTTGGTCCAGTTTAGAGAAATCGCTGGTAGAAAGTCACGCCAAAACTGCTTGACAAAGTGGTCAATTCTTTCTCGAGAAAATAGGGTCTTATTATGCTAAACTAGACAAATCAGGAATTATGTTATCTATTCATTTTCTTAAAATCACTGGTACGTTGTCTCAAAAATGCTCGGCAATATTATTAATTATGAAATTTAGAATTAGTGAAAAATTTCTCAAGCATCGTTTTACTCATCGTAAATTTAAAACTTCCCTTTTCTCCATATGTAATACCACACGGCCAATGGGTAAATTTGCCTCATGTTTTTCCAGGTTTGTCCAGGAAAAATTCCCGCATATGAGAAAAGTACAGACTGGATTCACTCAGCCAATTAGTACTACTCCTAAACTGAGTAAAATTTTGGTTAAATTTCCTCATTTCCTGGCAGGAAACCATGAGGCAAATTTACTCAGCACTGAGTTCCTGTACTTTTTGCGATTATGAGTAAACTGAACTCAAATTTGGGTGGATCTCGAGGTGTGTATGCTCGAAACAAACAAAGACCATACAAACGGCATCTTCTTCAATTGCCATCATGTGTTTGTTTACACAACAATCGGTCAACTATATGGCCTGGCACAAATATTGCAGGCCAAGCCAACAACAGAGCTGATATCAGATATCAAAACATGCCATCGCCTACTAATGACGATGACGACGACGACGACAACGACAACAACAACATCAACGCCTCCTGACGTGCTATCTTTGTTGTTGTTCAATTTACCACGCAGCGTTTGCTTCTCTTCGCCATCGACTCGAAAAAGGTAGAAAGGGGTTTCCAATACGGATATTGTATTTTTTTTTAGTCCGAGTCCAACACCATTCCGTGTTTGTCTCCATTTCTTATCGCTGTGGGCTTATCAATCCGACATGCTTCAGAATGGGTAAGCTACCGTCGGGGGAGGTGTTTCTGGACATACCTGTGAATAATGAAAATTATAAAAATTGCTCAAAATATACTCAGGTAATATAGATAAGTCACATTTTCAATGAGAAACTTGTGCTGCTATATGGCAGTGAAACATGCTACGTATCAGCCGAGAACACTCACAAGCTGTCGGTCTTGATCAACCAATGTTTGTGGTTCATAAACCATACCTGGTAGCCTTACAATTGGATCTTGAATGTCGAAGTCATCAGAAGCCGATATGAATTGTACCCTGCGTGATACAATTTGTCCCATTTTGTACAGTTTTATCTCCGAGTGTAGTATTGCCGTGATTCTCACGAGCGTGTACCGTGTTTGTTATGCTTTGTTTTAGTTGTCATTGCCATTTCAGTTGTAGGCGACATACTCATACACGTGAATAATTTTAATTTGTAAATTTTGCACGTTATTTTATTCGTTTTTTGTTGTTAGTTTAGGAAAAATTTATCGTTTTAAAATGTATCGCGTCCCAAATAAAATTAGGGCCTTAAAGCTCCTCCCGCTGCAAAGAAGGCAAAAAGCATAAAAGCAGAACAGTCGAGCGTGGTTGCAGGAGCGATGGCGGTTTGATGTGATTTTGTTTTTGTGACGTTGTGAAAGAACCAGAGGAGAACAATCCGAGCCACCGTGGACAAGAGCGTGTGTTTTTTTGTTCGGAGACGATTTTCCCGAGATTTGGGTCCCGAACTAGCTCGTCTCCTATTGGGAAGATTTCCCAATTGCGTCACGAGTCCGCAGGATTTGTTTGTGCAACGCGAGTGAAAGTCGGCTCCGCGGCCGTGAAAGTTGAGAGTGCAACAGAGTGTCGGATCGCCATTGTGGGAAGCTAAACACTAAGGAGCTAATCGCTTCCCCGGTTAACCACAAAGGATCCGGTAGACACTCGCCGTCCTGACTGCGGTGGCTCAGTCAATAGAGCCAGTCTCGCCACCGCAGTTAATCCACCGACAAACCGACATGAATGACCATACAAAGTACCATAAAATTTCTGATCAACGCACAAAACTGACATCTGCCACCGTGTTCGCGAAAAATGTTTATCCTAGCCACGAACACGCATACAAAATGTATGAGTTGGTTCATGTCTAATCTATTCCGGGCAAATTATTTTTATCTAGATAACAAATTTCAATGGTTTTGACAGACGGGATCGCTGCACATTTGAATACGCCGTTATGGATTCTTGAACAAGAGTTAAGTTTAAGTTTCATGTCGGTTTGTCGTTGGTTAATCGTCAAGCAGGACGAAGCAGGCGGTACAAGAGGTGAGTACGCCTGGGCAGAAACACTGCGGTGTCTGCCGGGGTTGCCTACGGCGAGTAGGTAATCCGGTTATTCGTCACCAACGTCGCCGGGGGGTTCCAACAGACGAGCCCCGCTAAATGTCAAGGACCGCTGCTAGGCAGCCAAATGTGAAGTAGGTGTAATCGCTCAGCACAATCCGTGCTTTGTAGCAGCAGAACCCCCGCCAGACCGTCATCGAAGGGCCCCATCGAACTGCAGCAGCAACAGCGAGGAGGAGGACACAGATAAGTGGATAATAGACGTCTAAATTGCATTTTCTTTTTGTTGTTTTGTTTTACCAAACCTCAGACCATTCAAAACAAAACACCGAAATCGCTTTTTCGAATGATGGCTGCAACCGGATGACGGTTGTTTTGAAATCAGATGATTTTCCTCTCGAATTCAGGATGAAACTTGTTATGAGAAAGGATAGGGCCTTCAGTTGAAATGCGTAATGCTCTCTGCAGAATGACTGCCATACTAAATGGAAATACATATGGTATTGGTTCAGCCCCATAACGCAAATCATTCAAAACGATGATGTAAATAATTCTATCGAACGTCATTTGCTGATCTAAGCTGACAAACGAGGTGGAAGCATATGCATCGCTATCAGAGCTGTTACGAACAAAGATAAAGGATGAAAACCAATGTTTGGCTAATCCGTGGTGGAGGAGATTTTCTCCACAACGAAAATTTTTTGTATCCCTAATGGAATGGCTTATTATGGCTATCCAGTATGGAATTGTAAATAATCAAATTATAAATTTAATTAAAAGCACTTGCATGTTACACCATTCTAAAATGTTTGTCCTCTGAGTGCCGTATGTTTTATAGCTAATTTTCAAACGAAAATCATCCTGTATTTGGAAGACAGTCATATGGATGTTCATCATCTGACGACGAATTCAACCATAAGAAAATCATCCAAAATTCGAATGCATATTGTTAAAGGGCTCGAGCAATGCCATAATCATTCGAAGTTTTACGGATGTTTTGGTTCAGTGTAGCAGCTTAAAATCTACACACAAAAAAAATCGTTGCTCAAATTAAAAAATACATTGATAGTATTAAAAGTATGCATTGGTTCTTTTTGGTAGAAAGCGGTTAGCTTTCAAAACAAAAATAGGCCAACTGTCAAATAAAAAGTTGCCCGGCCACTGCTTTTAAAAGTTAAAACTTTCAAATTGAATTGTAGTTCTGTCAAATGAAAAGCATAACAGTATTTAAATTAAAAGCAGATTATTTTCGATTCAAAATAAATTTTTATACCGAAACTTTGGTATAGTTAGGATTACATATATGCCCTTTTAAATTTGAAAACAAATACTTTCACCATCATCACGTTCGTTTTCATTCCAAAATCTCATACATATTCAATTAAAAGTTTTTATTATGTGAAAGAAATATACAAAAATATGTTTATTGATATATTAAACAATCAATATTAAATATATTATGTTGAATTTCTTTC